GCTAGTGCCCATATGGGATGCCAGAATTGATCGGGGCAGCTTTACCGCTAGATCACGGTGCCAGCCCTGCTTGATCTTCCCAAGAATTGCGGAAGTGGTAGTGTAGTGAACCTACCTTATGAACGCTGCTGCCAGAAAGTTCTAACTTGGGATTGCAAAGTACCAAGATGGGGAAGAACCGTAAGTGCCATCCAGCCCCTTCTCAGCATGGTTCCAAGAAGCTGGACACTTCTTCCAGCTCAGCATCTTGGACTCCATCCGAGTATTTCTGGGTTGGCCTGGTCCATTCACCACCTGTGCTCAGAACTGGACACGGCAATGTAGTAGTGTGTGTGTGTTGAGTGTGGTGAAGGGCAGAGCCATCACTTGAGTGGCTGGGAGCAGGTTTCATGTTTGCTGAGTGAGTCCCAGAAGCTGTGCTTCTCCCAGGTCTCTTGGTACAGTCCCTGTTATTGCATTCCTGTTGCTCTTGGAGTATTCAAGACGTGGCTCCTGAGATGTTTACTCCTGGTGACACAGGTATCTGCCATTCACTCACTCATGTGACATGGCCCTGGCCATGTGCCCTCACAGTGAGCACAGCTGGCTCGTGTGTTTGGCGATGACCCCTATGTAGAGGCAGGAAACCCTGGCAGACAACCTACAGGCAGCCTGCTGGCCAGCTTGTCTCCGTGATCTCCTCCCTCATGGGCACCCCCTCCCACCCAGCATTTCTCAGTTCCTCACCCCACTAGGACACAGCTCCTGTTTGACTTTGGGGTAAAGGCAGGTGTGGGTGTGCTGCACAGAGGGGTGTGCAGCAGTGGCCAGGGGGCCTGCTCCCAGTCCACTGTGTGTCCTCACTTGCCCAGGCTTGAAAGCGAGCATCCCTGCCTTCTTCCTCATGGCCACTCAAGTCCTCTCAGTCTGGCCAGGGGCTTTGAGCATACAGGTCTCCCCAGCTTCCACCATTTTCTGTGTTGAGGTTGTACATCAAGTTAAGTTATGATGCTATCGTGAATAACTTAGGGCCCAGCATAGTAACATAGTAGTCAAGTCCTCATCTACCATGCACTGGGATCCCATATGGGTCCTGGTTCATATCCTGGCAACTGCATTTCCCTTCCAGCTCCATTTGTGGCCTGGGAAAGCAGTAGAGGATGGCCCAAGCCTTAGTACCCTGCACCTACATGGGAGACCCGGAAAAGGCTCCTAGTTCCTGACTTCAGCCCAGCTCAGCTCTGGCATTTGTGGCCACTTGGGGAGTAAACCAGCAAATCGAAAGTCTTTTCTCTGTCTCTCCTGTAAATCTGACTTTCCAATAGATCTTTTAAATTTTTTTACATATAAAAAAAACCTTGGAAACCTCAGTGTTTTATGTGAGGGAGGTTGTTTTCATTAAGGATTGACAGAATTAATTTGAGGGACATAGTGTGAGAGGGAAAGATCTTCCATCCCATATACCCACAGTAGCCACATGTGGACCAGGCAGGAACTCCACCCTGCTCTCCCACATATACACAGGCCATCTTTCATGGCTGCGGTCCAGGAGCATCAGCTAGGAGCAGGATCAGCAGAGTCGCTGAGACTCCATCAGGTGCACCCTGTATAGGTTTCCTGTGTTGTACTGGGGGCTTCGCCCACTGTGCCACAGTGCTGACTAGTCTTGGGTGGATTTTTCTTGCAGGTTCTTTCAGGGGGCTTAGTGAACCTCAGTAACCTGACAGTGTAACTAGGGGCCATTCTGCTTAAATTCCACCTTGCTACAAAGTCCCACACCATGACTAAGGGCTGAGCAGGATTCAGTCTGAAATGAGCAGGGTTCGTCCGTATAGTGAGCCCTTCCTGTCTAGTGACATGCTGAGGGATCATCCTCACCTCCGCACAGGCGCCTGCAGGTGTGGGAGGGCACACACGGTAGCCAGTGTTGCAGATGAACTCCCCAGCACCAGGTCAGTCCTCCACACGCTCCCCTGGGCCGTGTGCGTTGGTCAGGACCTGGCCCCTGGTACTCTCTTTGCCCAGAGTCCCTCAGTGGTAAGGGGAGCAGAGGCAGGAAAGCAGCAGGGAGCTGGATGAGGCCCAGAAGTCTCCCTCTTCTAGGAGATGGCCTTGGTCATCTGTTGCCATGCCACGGGGCCCCTCCAGTGACAGTCATTACCCACAGGGTTAAGCAAATTCCACAGCACGTAGGCAATGCTCAGGCCAGCATTGGAACCCAGTTCTGGCTAAGTAGAGTCTACTGCCATGCCTATATTTCCTTTTCCCTTTGGAGAACAGTGGGCATGGATTTGGGATCAGGGTTGGAGAATGCTTATTCCTAGGCCCATCTTTTAGGTTCCAGTGTGTGTTGCGGGTGCTGCCACAAAGCCTCAGCCCAGACACACCCCTGCCCTGCATGCTGCTGACCGTCCGCCTGCTTGCGCTCCTGGTGGATGACGATACACTGGCCCCGCGACTCTGTTCCCACTCGGGTAAAGCCATGTGGGGATGGACCCATGACTGCTGGCGGTGGAGGTGGGTAGGATGAGGCAGCATGGCCTCTGCGGAGGGTGTACGAGCTGCAGGTGACAAGGTGGCGTGTCCTTTGCAGAAGACTGCCTCCTGCTGCTGCTCTATACGTACATCACGTCAAGGCCTGACCCCACGGCCTCCAACTCTCAGTGGCTTCAGCTGGAACAAGAGGTAAATACTCCAGACACCTTTGGAAACCGTCTGGCCCCATCTCCATTTGAATGACAACTGCGTTGCAGCAGCCAGGATTGAGCCTGGTCAAGGCCAAGAGCCAGGAACTCGGGGTCTCCCACATGGATGGTAGCAACTAAGTACCTGGGCAGTCAGCTGCCTCCCAGGCACGTTAGCAGCAAGCTGGACTGGAGGTGAATAGGTGGGACCAAAACTAGGCACGCCCATGGATATAGAGTATCCCTTAGCACAATATCCACCCTCGGATTTTTCTGTCTTCCTTTGTCTAGGGGGAAATGGTGCATTGGTTTGTTTTGTAAACAGCAGTTTGTCAGACTGCTGGAAACACTGCTTTGGCAGGTGGGAGGTTGCTGCAGCACACAGGTGCTGTATGACTGGCGGAGTTCCCTGCAAGTCAGGCCTGGCCTAGAGGCAGCCGGGCTGAGACAGGCGCCAAAGCTGAATCTGGCCTGGAAGGCCTCACATGACCATGCATTGAACCCAAAGGGGCACCCAGAGTTCTTGTAGGGGTATCTTGAGGAAACCCCTGTTGTGACCGGGGTCTTGTTCTCTCCAGGCCGTGTGGCTTCTGGCTAAACTTGGTGTGCAGAGCCTTTCTCCTCCAGTCACTGGGTCCGACTGCCAGTGCAGTGTGGAGGTGAGTGGCCAGGGACAGGTGGGGACAGATGACAAGGTAGCTCAGCCTGTGGGTGAGGTGGTCCTGCACAGCATGCCCCTCTGAAGGTGCCAGGCTGAGCAGGTGGTGCCCCTTGCCCAGGTGGTCCGAGCCCTCACAGTGATGCTGCATAGACAGTGGCTGACACTGCGGAGAGCAGGGGCCGTGCCCATGACCACACAGCAGAGGCGGACAGTGCGCTGCCTGAGGGACACGGTGCTGCTGTTGCACAGCCTGTCACAGAAGGACAAGCTCTTCACCATGCACTGCGTGGAGGTCCTGCACCAGTACGACCAAGTGATGCCAGGGGTCAGCACACTGATCCGGGGGCTCCCTGATGTGACAGACTGCGAAGGTGAGCAGATATTATGCCTCCTTTCCCCCACCATGGCCTTTTCCAGCCTGGGGGGCATTTTCATAGTCTTCTTGCATTAGTTCTTGGTATATGGGGCTGGTCTTTGCTCATATCTGTTGAGTTAGCACAGCAGAGCCATGGTTTTTCTAGAACTGTCCATGTCAGAATTGCCTCTGTCAGCTGTGCTGCATGCAGTAGCTGAGGGAGCAATACCTGGATGTGGAAGGGACTAGTTGGTTCCCATGGGTGTTGGGGGAAGGGTGTGCTTCCCCCAGTTCCAGGCCCCTCTGGGGCTCACCTAGTCTTCTCCATCTTGGCCCAGACGCAGCCCTGGATGACCTCTGCGTGACAGAGACCGAGCTGGAAGACCACGAGGCAGACTGCAGTTGAGGCCCGTCAGGCCACAGGGTGGCGCAACTTCCACTGCTTGCCTCCGCTGATTAAAAGCGGGGACTGCAGTTCCTGCTGTGAACACACCAGCCTTGTTTCCGGTCTGTTCTGTTGGGTGGCATGGGAGGGATGCAGCTCCGCTGGGGTCCACCCCCTGGCTGCAGAGGGATCCTGTCCCTTTGGTAACTAATCAGCTTTGAGCAGAGCCCTGCCCTGCCTGTGGAATTGTCCTGAGTCATCGCTTTGGGCCGGGGCCAGGGGAAGGAGGTGCCCTCAGCCTTCCTCATTCAGGAAGGCCTGGGAAAGGCTGAGAAGAGCCGGAACAGGCTGCCCGTGGCAGGTGATGCCCGGAACCAGCCTGGTCCCTGCCCTTCCAAGTGGGCTCTGGCTGGCCCAAGGGCCTGGTGCATTCATGCCAGCCAGCAGACCCTTAGGAAAGCCTTTGGAGTTCCTGGGGCAAGAGGGGTGTTAGGCAGAGAGGGAGGAGAAAGGCGGGCAAGGAGAGGAGAGGCGGGGCCAGCTCTAAGTTTCACTTCTTGTCACTGCTGAAGCAGCAGCCCAGCCCCAGTGTGTGGTGTGTGGCCCGGCCCAGCTGCTGCTGCTCTGCTGCTGTTCCGGTAAGTGAGGGGCCCCAGGGCAAGAGAAAGAAGCCACGGGTCATTCCAATTTTAGTGTATGTGCTGCCGAAGCAAGCACAAGGGAAGCCATGGGTACGCCCTTCCCAGACCAGGTGGGCACTTGGGGAGGGGTCAAGCCCAGAGGGATAGTGTGCTGGTCCAAGAAAGGAAACCATGGCACCCTCTCTAGCTTCTGTAAGAATGGGCCCTGGAGCTCAAGCACATTGCCCGCTGGTGGAGGGGAGGCCCAAGGTGTGCTGGTACTCACCCACAACCCTTGCTCCGCAGCAGGTACCCCATGATGGGCTCGCAGACCCCACCCCCAGAGCTTGTACAGACCCTTATCTTCTTGGACCTGGAGGCCACTGGACTGCCCTTCTCCCAGCCCAAGATCACAGAGCTGTGCCTGCTTGCTGTCCACAGATGTGCCCTGGAGAGCCCTTCCACTTCCCAGAGTCCAGTGCCCCCCCCACCCCGAGTGGTGGACAAGCTCTCCCTATGTGTGGCCCCGGGAAAGGCCTGTAGCCCCACAGCCAGCAAGATCACAGGCTTGAGCACAGCCGTGCTGCAAGCGCATGGGCGTCAGCCCTTCGACGACAGCCTGGCCAGCCTGCTCCTGGCTTTCCTGCGGCGCCAGCCAGCGCCCTGGTGCCTCGTGGCACACAATGGTGACGGCTATGACTTTCCCCTGCTGCAGGCAGAGCTGGCCATGCTGGGCTGTGCCAGCATCCTGGACAGAGCCTTCTGTGTGGACAGTATGGCTGCCCTCAAGGCCCTAGAACAAGCTGAGAGCCCCTCGGCGCACAGCCCCAGGAAGAGCTACAGCCTGGGCAACATCTACACACGCCTGTACGGGCAGGAGCCACCAGACTCCCACACAGCTGAGGGTGACGTCCTGGCCCTGCTCAGTATCTGCCAGTGGAGGCCCCAGGCTCTGCTCCGCTGGGTGGATGCTCACGCCAGACCCTTCAGCACTGTCAAGCCCATGTATGAGGCCACTGCTTCGAGGACCAGCCCGCGGCCATCTGCTAGAACAACCATGACACGCCTACATGCCGCCAAGAACACCAGTGCCAGCCCCAGCAGGAGTAAGAAGTCCACAGCTCTTCCTACACCCAAGGACCCTGGAGACCTGCCCAGAGGTGAGCTGCTGGCCTCCCTGGGCCTGCTGGCTTTCTTGACCTTGGCAGTAGCCACACTGTATGAACTGTTCCTGGCCCCACAGGGGCAGTAGGCCAAGGGAGACAAAATAAAGAGCCCCTTACCATGGCAACATTGAGCATCATGCCTTGCAGGCAGCTGGGCCTCTGCCCACACTCAGGAACCCGGGGAGGGAGCGGTCTTTGATCCTCCTGCAGGGGAGATTGAAGTGCAGATAGATCCCTACCACAAGTAAAGAAGACAGGAGTCCCATACTGGGCCGAATGCCCCGTTCCAACCAGCTGCTGAGGCTCTGAAGAAAGGAGGCAACAGCTCCAAATGTCTGTTTATTACAAACAGGTGCAGACCCTAAACTCTCGAATATATCAAACAGATCCAAAACAAAGCCTGACCTGGTGAAACTATTCCAAGGGCGCGACAGCCAGGGCCCTCGCTCCCACTGCTGGCCCAGGCACCCCTGCTGCCAGGGTAAGCAGGGGGCAGGAGCCAGTCACTTGGGGGATGCTGGCACTTTCGGAGATCAGACTTTCAGTCAGGTTCCCTCCAGGGCCCTGGGGGTTTCCACCTCATGTCCATAGTTACGTAATGTAAAACAAAATAGAAACTGTCCAGAGGGAAAGAACACAGCAGGGAGGAGACCCAAGTGTACTGGCGGATAGAGGCCAGGCTGCTCATGTATGGAAGGGACTGAGCAGGAAACCAGCCCTGGGGGCCGTCAGAACATGTCACCTGGTGGCACTCGCAGGAGGCACTGACATCAGGAGCTGCCCGGCGCAGCACAGGCTCAAGGAAACAATGCAGTGTCTGCCCAAAGGACCTAGAGCCCCGAGCCAGGCACCACACACCTGCCTGCGTCACAGCCGCAACCCTGCAAAAAGCACCTGAGCCGCGGGGAGGACCAGGGGAGAGTGCACACCTGGTTCTCAGAATGTGGCTTCAGAGTTTAGGGAGCAAAATTTCAAGTGAGGAAAAGAATGAAGCTTGGTCCCTGCTGATGAGAGAATTGCTCCCCACCTCGTCAGCCCCGTGTGTAGCCAGGACACGCACCGTGTGCAGCGCAGCAGAGCACCATGCCTGCACGCCACTCACACCAGGATAGTCACGGGGCAGCTGGGGCCAGCTCAGGGGGCTGCCTTCGGGGAATCCGTATAGGCTGGGTTGTAGGGTGGCTGGCTGGCAACATACGGCATGGCTGCACCTCCTGAAACAGAGAGGAGCTGGTTGGCTGCTGTGGGCAGCACCAGGTGGGCTGGCAAGAGGCAGCAGTGGTCTACCCCTTGAGTACATGTATCTGGGGACATGTACTCAAAGGCATAGGTAGGGTCAACCCAGCAAGGGCACTCACCAGCCAGTGTCTCGTGGTAAGCAGGTGGGCCCATGGGCTGGGCTGGGTAGGGCGGTGGGTACTGCATCGGATAGGGGGCTCCTGGTATCCCTGGCTGTGAAGGCATGGAGGGGTAGCCCTGGTACGTCGGTCCAGGATAGCTGGGTGGCGCACTTGGAGGCTGAGGGTAGGGGGCGTGCACCACCGTGGTAGATGTGGTGGTGGTCACAACCGCTGCACAGAAAAGCCATGTCAGGACCCCATCCATCTCCCTCCCTCCCCAGGTCTTGCTACCCCCACCCCTCCGGTTTCAAAGCAGGGCGCTGACCAGCTCCCCTTGCCCACCCAGGAGCCCACGGTGGGGCAGGGGCTGGTGGGCATGCTTACGGCGTGGCCGGCGGCACATCTTGTACAAGCAGCAACAGGAACAGGTGAAGCAGACGATGATGGTGACCACGGAGAGCACAAAGATGGTCAGGCCGACGGCCACAGTTGCTCCAAACCTGCCCGGGAGCCAGTGCTGAGCCAGGGCCGCCCACCCCGCCCTGGGGCCAGGCGCCCGGCCTCACCCCTTCCCAGGAGCCAGCGCCTCACTGAAGGTCAGACACGCTGGGTAATGTACAGGGTGCAAGCTTCAACCTATTGGGGCCCCAATTACCTAGTGGGTAAAATGGCACTGGGAGACCACATTTGGCACTTAGCCCAGGTCTGCCCCTTGTGCACCCCTAAGGAGCAGGAAAGATTTCCTCAGTCCTCTGCCATAACCTCTTGCCCTCAGCAGCAGATGGCTTCTGGAAGATTCCATAAACCAAGCAGGCACTGTGGGGCTCAGCCATGAACCCTTGACAGTGAGACAACCAAGCCTTAGCCTCTAGGAACCCAGCACAAGAGACAAGTGTCTGGTCTATAGGGGGGGCAGGGGTGGACAGATAGGCAGTGTCCCTGCATGCCTGTTCAGCCCAGAGCAGGCTGCTGGCCCCTGAGTCCCCAACGGCACATCAGGCATTCACAGCTGGCAGGGCCCCTGCCACTGGGGAGGAGGAAAAGCAGAGAAACGAGACCGCTCCCCTTCTCCCCCTGGCCAGAAGGGCAGGCCTGGGTCTAGGACAGCCCCCCAGGCAAGAGGGACCCTTCATTACTCTTCCATTCATCAGAGGGAAGGCGAGTGCTTGGCCACCACAGCCAGCGTCTCCAGGAGTAAGCCTTGGCCCCACCTGCTCCCACCCCACTGCCCAGAACAGACTAAGGGACAAGCCCTTGACACTCCAGGCTTCCAGCCAGCAGCCAGTGAGCAGCTCAGTCCAGGCCCCAGGACAGCAGCAAGGCCACCAGAGGCAGGAAGTGGGTTGAAGACATGCGCTGCCCACAATGGGCACAGTGCCATCTTTGACAGAAGGGCATTCAAGCTCACCCCATGTCAGCCTCTGCCGCTGGTGCCCAGGGACCTCCTGCACCCCAGGACTGCCCCTTCTTCCATCACAGGCTACTCAGTCAGTCTCCACCCGTTTAGGGGAAACTGAAACCAACCCTCTTCCTCCCCCCCTTCCTCCCAGCCCTGACGTCAGCAGCAGGCAGCACCCTCTTAAAGACACAGCTTGGCCAGAGGAGGCAGCCAGAGGAGGGCACTCCCAGGAGCCCCAGCCGCCTCAGCTGCCTTGCAGCCAGGCCTGCCCAGGCCTATCCAGCCACTCCCTCTGCCCGGCAGGCAGAGTTGGGCCCTTCAGCTCCCTGCCTCCACCCACCTGGCAAGCCTCCAGCCACGGGGGCCTCAGGTACAGCCCCATCCCCTTGGCCTCTCAGCTCTTCCTCTAGCACCAGCGCATGCTCCCCGGCCCCTAGTCTGACTCACCCAGAAGATGCCACTGTCCTCCCACTCCCACCCTAATGCCTTCTGGAGCTCCTGTAGGAATTTGCCTGCTAAACTCCACATTGTTTAATACTTCCATTACAGCTGACAATCAAAGAAGAAAAGAGAACCCTGCCTTTGGCCTCATCAGACTGTAAAACTTTCAACAAAGAAAATATAAACTTTTCATTAAAACTGCAGCCACCACACCCTACTAGGCCCAGCAGCCTGGTGGGAGTGGGACAACTCCCTCCTCCAGCTCAGCCCGCTTCCTCTCAGTACCCAGGAGCCCAGGGCTGCCTCCCTCCCGCAGTTTCCTGCCAGGGCCTGGTGGGCAGGCGCTTCTCTTCCCCAATCCACCTTCACCTAGTTACTCCTGTTCACCCCCAGACCTCCGCTGGAAGCGTCACTCCCTCTAGGACAACTTTCCTGAGCTGGGGCTGCCTGGCATTGCTCCCATTGCTGGGCCAGAGTGGGGGTGCAGCAGGTGAAGCCACAGTTGGGGAAGCCTGTTGTCCCATCAGAGTGCTGGTCAGGTCCAGGCTGCTCCACTTCCAGCCCAGCTGCCTGACAGTGCACCTGGGGAAGCACTGTGATGCTCCTGGCTCAAGCTGTACCCGCCACAGGAACGGCTGGACATAGCTCTGGGCTCCGAGTTTCAACCCGGCCAGCCCCCTGGGAAGCCTTTGAGGAGTGATCCTGCAGATGGAAGACCTCTTTCTATTTCTCTGTATGTGCCTGTCAGTCTGCCTTTCAAACAGATGAAATTTTGTTTTTTAAAGAATACAGAATTATATAGACAGAAGGAGACAAAAAAATCTTCCATCTGCTGATTCACTCCTAAATGGCAGTAACAGCCAGGGCTGGACCAAGTGAAAGCCAGGGACCACATCCAGGTCTCCCACTTGAGTGCAGAGGCCCAAGCACTTGGACCATCCTCTGCTGCTTTCCCGGGGACATTAGCAAGGAACTGAATCAGAACTGGTATGAATCAATACCCACACATTGCAGGAGGCAGTTTCACTCCTGGAACAATGCCAGCCTCTGTTTTTTAAGAAATTAAAAAGAACTAATTATACACTTCAGCTTATAAACACACACTCCCAGGGCTAGTATGGTGGTGCAGTAGATTAAGCTGTCAACTGCAGTGCCAAATGCTATATAGGCATAGGCTCAAGTCCCAGGTGCTACACTTACGGTTCAGCTCCCGGCTAATGGCCTGTGAAAGTAGTAGAGGGTGACCCAAGTCCTTGGGACCCTGCATCCATGTGGGAAACTGGAAAGAAGTTCCTGGTTCCTGGCTTTACCTTAGCTCTGGCCTGCACATTGTAGCCATTGGGGAGTGAACCAGCATATGGAAGATCTCAGTCTGTGTAAATACCCTTCAAATAATTTTTTTAAAAAAAGAAAACATGGCCCCAGCGCATTGGCCTAACAGCAAAAGTCCTTGCCTTGAATGTGCCGGCATCCCATATGGGCGCCGGTTCTAATCCCGGCAGCCCCGGTTCCCATCCAGCTCCCTGCTTATGGCCTGGGACCCCGCACCTGCCTGTGGAAGACCCAGAAGAGCTCCGGGCTCCCGGCTTCGGATTGGCGCAGTACCGCCCGTTGCAGTCACTTGGGGAGTGAATCATCAGACAGAAGATCTTTCTCTGTCTCTCTTTCTCTCTGTATATCTGACTTTGCAAAAAAAAAGAAAATAAATCTTAAAAAGAAAACATGCACACACGCCCCTTTCGGCACCTGATGAACTGCATCTTGCACCTGTGCTTTGAGTCATCCCCGTATTCCGACAGGTCAGTAGTCACCTGGCAAACGAAGGAGAAAATTTACACAGGGATGCAACGGCCAACAGAGTGCCAGGCCACACATCAGGCAGCAGCAGTGAAGCCAGACCGCCAACCTGAATGAAAAGGGCCTTCCAGGACTGACGCTCCCTCCTTGGTTCAAGGGATCTGGAAGCCAAATTCAGAAGGCAGAGTCATCCCCAAGGCAGAAGAGGAGGGGCAGGGCACCATGGCCCAGGCAGGGCGATGGTCACGAGGAGAATCCCCCGCATTCTGATGGCAAGGGCAGCTCTGAGGCGGGCACCAGGCTCTTCCCAGTGGGCAGTGCCAGTAGGGTACCAACTGGGCCAGAGAACTGTAGAAAAGGAACTTCCAGGGCTGGCAGGCAAGCCAACCATGTCTTCTACTGGCCAGCACATCCCTTGCAATGCCAGACAGAATGGAGCAGAGGGTCAGGAGTGGCCAGTCTAGGCCCACAGCCACAGGCTCTGCCCTCAGGTAGCAGAATCAACACCAAGCCCAGGCTGGACACGGGCCCCGCAGCACACACTGGGGCAAGGCGGGCTGCAACTGCCAGCGCTGGGGCAGCAGACAGGAAGGCTCCTCTCCCTAGACTGCAGCAGGAGTGCCAGTCAGGTCCTTGGGTTCACAGGGCATCACCTAGGCGGAGGGGTGGGGCGGAAAGAGCAGAAACCACAGGCCACAGGCTCCTGCTTCCCCTGCCAGGCTTCTTTGGAGTTCCTAAGCCGAGCAGGCAGCCCCTGCAGTAACAGCGACGGAGGCCTTGGCCACTGGCACACAGAGAATCCCCTGTGCCTGCCCTCCAGCCTCACAGGGATGCTGGGTGCTCAGGAAAGCAAAGCAGAGGAGGGGAGAAGGGCAGAGCCTGTCCCTGCAGCACATGCAGGGCGCCAGAGCTGTGCATACAACATTGCATGTCGATGCCACACACTCTCCCAGGGCCCCAGTCCTTCTCCCACTGCAGCTCGCCCCAGTTCTGCCCATGGTGTTGTGCACAGGGTGCACATACCCTGACTGGGGGTGCTGTCCTTGTTGGTCCCAGCACAGCCCTTCCAGCCTTCAACACACTGCTAATCCCAACCAAAGCCCTTCACCCCAAACCTGCCCTTGGAGCTGCAGTGGTACCCCAGGCCTTGCCAACACAGTTCATATCCTGAAGCAGAGGGAGACCAAATCTGTCAGGGACTCGGGGCCTGGCAGGGGACTTGGCGACTGTGAAGGTAAGCTGGGCCAGGAGCTAACTCAGCTCAACTTTTCTCTGTGTGAAGTCAGATGCCTCACATCGTGGCCACAGCAGTCTCCAGTGGACCATGGACTAAGAGGTACCTGAGTCTCAGAACAAATCTCACCACTCTGTCTGCACACAAACATAGGCCCAAGGTTGCATTCTCCAGGCTCCTGGTTTTCTCAGGATGAAAGAAAGACAGCCCAACGGGCCCAGCGGCGTGGCCTAGCAGCTAAAGTCCTAGCCTTGAACGCGCCGGGATCCCATATGGGCGCCGGTTCTAATCCCGGGCAGCTCCACTTCCCTTCCAGCTCCCTGCTTGTGGCCTGGGAAAGCAGTCGAGGATGACCCAAAGCTTTGGGACCCTGCACCCACGTGGGAGACCCGGAAGAGGCTCCTGGCTTCGGATCAGCATAGCATCGGCCGTTGCGCTCACTTGGGGAGTGAATCATTGGATGGAAGATCTTCTCTGTCTCTCCTTCTCTCTGTATATCTGACTTTCCAATAAATAAATTAATTAAAAAAAAAAAAGACAGCCCAAGACAGATGCTGGGCAAAAAACCTGTGGGTGCAGCTGCACACCCCAACCACCAGCAGGAAATGAGCGTCACCCTTGCTGTGGCCATGACAGGGCAGGACAGGAAGGAACCTGGTGGAGAAGGCAGGAGAGCAGGGCTGCTTCCTGGTCCAGAGAGAGGATGGCTAAGGAACCCCAAACTTCAGCACTGGTACCCTGACAGCAACCATTGCCCTCCCTTCTCCCCCCAGCCCAACACATCTGCCGTACCACCTCTTCCCCAACGCAGTCCCTCATTCCCCGCCACTGCTCCATCTGTCCCAGTCCATCAACATGGGCCCCACCTCTTGCCTCCCACCAGTCGCCTCCTTGGCCAGCCTCTCAGCCACCCGTACCACCAAGGCCTTCAGCCCACAGTCTGACCATCCCAGCCCCTGCCGCCCTCAGCAAACCCACCACATCTGCCGGCAAACACCGCAGGACCATTCTCCAGCAGGCTTCACTTACCCTGACATGGAGTCGTCACTGTCAAAGCTGGAGCGAAACCTCAGGGCTGAGCCCAGCTGCTCCAGGGGCTCCGAGCTGGGGGCACTGGGGGCACTGCGGAGGAAGGCTTGGGTTTAACACTGCAACCCCGCGGCACAGCAGGAGCACGCAGGTGCCACCTTGGGGCACACCCCACCCCACCCCAGGGTTATCCCCTCCTCCCACAGGAGGGCCCCCCACACACCAGGACCAGGCCCGTCAGGGTTCCAGGGAGGGCTGGAACGGCTGGTGTGTGCTAGTCTTCAAAATAAGTGTTAAACGTTTTCAGAAGTTACAAGGTTTCGGTTCCCCTTGTCAGAGGAGGAAATTAGAAACCAATAACAGAGTCAAAACAAAACAAAGTGCTTTAAAGTACTGATGCCTGAGGAAACTAATTAGTGTGATACAAACCAAAAAAAAAAAAAAAAACCACTTAAGTGGCAGAAGTTGGGGTGCAGGGTTAACTACTGCTTGGTATACCTCTGTCCCATACCCCAGGGCCTGGTTCAAGTCCTACTACTCTACCCTGATCTAACTTCTGCCAGGGCAATACCGGAAGTCATCAGGAGCTGGAGATCCTTGGAGCTCAGCCCGGCTTCCACTCGGGCCCGCACTGGCGTCAGGCCCAAGTGGGGAGTGAACCAGACGACAGAATTCTCTCTGTAGCTCTGAATTTCAAATAACTTTAATATTTTTTTTTTATTGGAAAGTCAGATGTACAGAGAGGAGGAGGGGGAGGAAGATTTTCCATCCGTTGATTCGCTTCCCAAGTGACCACAACGGCTGAAGCTAAGCTGTTCTGAAGCCAGGAGCTCAGAGCTCCTGGGGCTCTGGGGCTGCTGGGATTAGAATGGGCATGCATATGGGATCCCACTGTGTGCGAGGTGAGGACAATTAGCCATTAGGCTACTGCACTGGGTCCCAAAATAATTTTTTAAATGAATTAATCTCTGCACCCCAAAAAGCAAGAGTTGTAATGAAGTCATAAGCAATCATAGAAAATTGGGCCCAGTACAGTGGCCTAGCAGCTCAAGTCCTCACCTTGAACACACCAGCATCCCATATAGGCACTTGCTGGGGTCCGCGGAGTAGGTGTGAATAACGCAAAGGTGTGAAGAGAACAGCTCCCCTGCTTGGCAGGGCCCGGGGAGCTTCCAGCTGTTTGGCAGGGCCCGGCAGATTTCTCTGACTACCTTGACGCAGTTTTCATCCCCTTTCGCATGGACACTCAACCACCCCACTAAGAATCTTGCAATCTATTAGGCATAGTTTGCCCCTGTGAGATGGCTTTTACAACCAACATGAGCTTAAAAGTTAATGTTACTGATAATGTCTTGGTGAGTGGGCCTTTAACTGCGCACAGGAGTACAATTAAGCCCATGCTGTTTCCAGACACCTTATTGTGTGCCTACCCATTGCTCTGAAATCTGGCCCAAACATTTAGCATGCTTTCTGGGAAATGGCCTGATAAGAGTTTCACAAACTAATGGAAGTGATGGGAGTATGGGTTGAAATTGCTATGACAAAAAATACAGCTACTGGGATCCTAAAAGCTATCCTGCTACTGGGATCCTAAAAGCTATCCTGTTACTGGGACCCTAAAAGCTACCCTGTTATAATTACTGTGACCCCAAAAGGCCATCCTGCTATGGCAAAAATAGTTACTGTGAGCTTAAAGGTCAGCCTGTTCCTGCAACTCTCAACTCTTTACAACATAGTAAATGTAGTTGCTTTAACCGCCTTCATAATTTTTTAACTAGAGGAAACAGGGTGATTTTACTAACATCATGTATACTTTTGATTATTGTTTGATCATTTATGAGGTTGCAGAGCCTGCAGTTGTAAAGGGATTTAATGTTTGAAACTTTTGTCTTAGATCTCTATGTTTTTTCTCTTTTGATGTATTTCTCTCATTAAGTGATGGGTAAGTTGTAGAAGAAGAATTGCAGTAGGAATGTATTACTGAATAAGATGTGTCGTCTACTGAGAAAATGATGGCTGCAACATCAGAATGGATAATGTCCTAAGGTGAAACTATTTGTAGAGTTGTCTTTGGAAACCTAAATGGAGTAAACAAGGCTTATTGCTAATTGCAACTCTCACTTAGTTAACAAAGTGTGAGCCTGCAGGTGTCAATGCCCCAATCCCCGCAAACCAAGGCCTGAGACCTTTTCCCATGCGTAATTCAAGGTAGGGGTCCAGTTGTCACAGGCGCACAGGGACCCAGACTTGAGGGGAGCAGGTGGGAGCTGGCAGGCCGAGATGAGCAAGGAATGTGGGGTCCTCCCTCACTCACCTCTCAAGCTGTTGTAAATTGTACCCTCCTTTGAGCTATGTCAAAATGCCCTAAAAAAAGACTGTGTACTGCTTCTGTATAAATAAAGTGGACAGCTTTCTCGCGGGGTCCACAATGATGTTGGAAGTGTAGTGGTCCGTCTCCTTTCTACGCCTATTTCACGCACCCTTCTCGAGCTCCGAACTCAGCTGGAGCTGGACTCCGGCAGGCACCGGTTCTAATCCTGGCAGCTCTACTTCTCATCCAACTCCCTGCTTGTGGCCTGGGAGGGCAGTCAAAGATGGCCCAAAGCCTTGGGACCCTGCACCCGTGTGGGAGACCCGGAAGAACTCCTGGCTCCTTGCTTCGGATCAGCTCAGCACTGGCCATTGTGGTCATTTGAGGAGTGAATCTTTGGATGGAAGATCTTCCTCTCCATCTCTCCTCCTCTCTGTATATCTGCCTTTTTCCAATAAAAATAAAACAAATCTTTTTAAAAAGGCCTTCAGAATATCTGTCCTCTAGTGAATCAGAATAATAGCCAGTGAAGCTGACTCAGACTTTTTTTTTTAACATTGATTTATTTTGTGGGTCCGGCATGGTGGCCTAGCGGCTAAGGTCCTCTCCTTGAATGCGCTGTGATCCCAGTAGGGTGCTGATTCCAATCCCCACAGCTCCACTTCCCACCCAGCTCCCTGCTTGTGGCCTGGGAAAGCAGTCGGGGACGGCCTAAAGGCCTTGGGACCCTGCACCCACGTGGGAGACCTAGACCAAAGTTCCAGGCTCCTGGTTTTGGATTGGCTCAGCTCCAGCTGTTGTGGCCACTTGGGCAGTGAATCATCGGACCAAGGATCTTCCTCTGTCTCTCCTCCTCTCTGTATATCTGATTTTGTGATAAAAATAAATCTTAAAAAAAAGATTTATTTTCAATGGAAAGTCAGATATACAGAGAGGAAGATCTTCCATCCGATGACTCACTCCCCAAGTGACCACAATGTCTCGAGCTGAGCTGATCTGAAGTCAGGAGCCTGTAGTTTCTTGTGGGTCTCTCATGGGGGTGCAGGGTCCCAAAGCTTTGGGCCGTCCTTGCCTGCTTTCCCAGACCACAAGCAGGGAGCTGAATGGGAAGAAGGGCTGACACACATCAGCACCCATTTGGAATCCCGGTGCATGCAAGGCGAGGATTTTGGCCACTAGGCTACCTCACTGGGCTCAGACTTAAGAAAACCAGTGCACAGCTTTAAGTGAAGGAGCAAGCACCTGCTAGAAAATACCAGTCAGGACAGGGCTGAGAGCGGGAGAAATGAGCCTGAGGCACCGAGTATGTTCTTTCCTGGGGACACCAGCCGGTGGCAGGGGGCACATGGGCAGTACCTCTGGAAGCTCTGCCAATCACGGCCTCAGCTGCTGCAAGTGATACTGTGCTGGAGAAAAGCAGCCAACAGCTGGCGAGCGTTCCCGGTCGGGTTCGTGCCAAGCCTGTGCTACCTACCCAAGCATGCAACAGGGCTGCCTATCCTTTAACATTAAATCTACAAGAAATGAACTTTTTGTATTTCAAAGATTTATTGATTTTTATTGGAAAGATCTACAGAGAGAGAGAAAGAGAAGAGAGACAGAATCTGTGCATGGATTCACATCCCCCCAAGAGGCTGCAACGGCCGAATCTGAGCCAATCTGAAGCCAGGAACTTCCTCTAGGTCTCCCACGCAGGTGCAGGGTCCCAAACCTTGGGTCATTCTCTACTGCTTTTCCAGGCCACAAGCAGGCAGCTGGATGGGAAGTGGAGCAGCCGGGACAAGAACCAGCACTTATGTGGGATCCTGGCACATGCAAGGCTAGGACTAGGCTACCATGCTGGGCCGAAGAGAAGGACTTCAGCAGGAAAGACTTAACACTCTAGAACTTCCATCATGAAGCAGGTGACTCCCATGGCACGGTGCTGAGCTGGGAGCACGCAGGGCAGAACCCTGGGGGGGTCCTACTAGACCACACTCACAGCATGCCACAGTGCTAGACCAGGGCGCCAAGGCTGGGGGCGGGGGCAGCGAGTGGGGGCAGGGGTGGGCTATCCTAGCCATGGAGCGCATGCGCATGCCGTGCTGCCTCCTACGCCAACGCCTGTGCAGGGGTGAGGTGCACACGAAGGATGAGGCACTCCTAGGAACCAGTCAAGGACTTCAGATGTCGCCTCAAAAGACAAAACGGAGTGGCAGACACACTCAGGGGACATGAGCATTGGCACTGGTCAAGAGTTGGATCCATGAGACTCACGTGATAGGGAGAGATAACTGCACCCAGACACCAAGGCCTACGCCCCCTAATGAACAAAGACCAGAGGAATCTACGTCCTCTAGCAACTGTTAAAAGTAAGGGGTGGGTGGGGAATTACACAGGCCAGACAGGTGGCTGCCTTAGAGTCAGCTGTTACTACACCTCCCCTGTCCAACATGATGCTATCTGCCTGTCAATCAAATGACCCCTCCCAGAGGATGTACTCCCCCTTTCCTGGACTTGGGGTGACAGCATGTAACCACTCACCTTTCCCGGCTCCTAAGAAGCCACACAATGGGAGGGGCATTTTAACTCTTTTGGGGGGATACAAATGAAAAGTAGAGGGGTGAAGCACAATGGCTCAATTGGCTAATCCTCCCCTAGTAAGTGCTGGCATCCCAAATGGGTACCAGTTCATGTCCCAGCTGCTCCATTTTCTAATGTTTCTTTCTGCTTGCAGCCTGGGAAAGCAGTAGAGGACAGCCCAAAGCCTTGGGACCCTGCGCCCACCTGAGGAACCCGGAAGAGACTCCTGTCTCCTGGCTTTGGATTGGCTCAGCTCCAGCCATTATGGCCATTTGGGGAGTGAACCAGCAATGGAAAATTTGTCTCTTTCTTCCTCCATAGCCCTGTCTTACAAACAAAAATAAATCTTTAAGCAAACAAAAGAGGACAAAAGACAGGGCTTGTACTTCCCCGAGCAGCCAAGATAGACGCTGGGTAGGCCACCCATATCCCAGGTCACGCGGCCAGCTGACGCCTGGGGCAGCTCCTGGAGCCAGGAAGGCAGCAGTGATGACTCCATAGTTCCCCTGCTGCCTCTCATGCGGGAGGCCTGGACTGGCCTGCTGGCCCAGCTGCTGGCCTGGCCTAGGTGCTGCAGACAGCTGGGGAGGTAAGGCAGCAGGCAGGAGACTGCTCTGCCTCGCAGGAGGGAAAAGTGGTTTCATAAGAAAAAAAAAGGGGGGAAACTCAATCTGTGTGTGCACCAAGCACAGGATGGGGACGAAACAGGAAGCGGTCCCTCGGCGGGGGCACGCTGCCGCTGAGCTGGGCCTTTCTGAATCTCTCAGGTGTCTGCACTAGCCAGCCCACGCAAGAACGTGTCACCCAGGAGTCCTCAAACTCACGCACACGCAGGGTCACAAGATGAGTCTTCATAAACTTCAAGAGGCTGGCTCTGCAGCTCAACGGTTACTTAAGCTGCTGACTGTGGTGCTGGCATCCCATACGGGCAAGGGTCTGAAGCAGCTGCTCCACTTCCCATCCAGCTCCCTGCTAATGAACCTGAGAAAGCAGCAGAGGGCGGCCCACGTACTTGTTGGGCCCCTTCATAAATATGAAAGACTGGAACAAATCTCCCAGCTTCAGCCTGGCTCAACCCTGGCTGCTGTGACCAACTGGGCAGCGAACCGGCCGTCGCGCTCACTTGGGGAGTGAATCATCGGACGGAAGATCTTCCTCTCTGTCTCTCCTCTCTGTATATCTGACTTTGTAGTAAAAATAAATATTAAAAAAAAAAAAAGTTGGAACAGCTGAGCTCAAACCAGTGCCCATATGGGATACCAGCACCCCAGGCATTGGCCCTAGAAAATGCAATGTGAGGGGCAACCTCGTGGAGCACATTCAGGTGCTGCTCTGAGAGCCGCTTCCCCTACTGGAGACCATCAGAGCCCCGGTCCAAGCTCCAGTGGCTCCCTCTGACCCAGCTCCCTGCTAACGCACTCTGGTCACACCCGGGCCCCGCCATCCACATGGAGACCCAGACGGAGCTCTGCGCTGCAGGTTCCAGCCTGGACTGTGGGCACTAGGGAAGGGAGTCAAAAGTGGAAGACCTCGAACTCTTTCCCTCTTCACCTTTCAAATACATGAAAACAAGCTTTTTTTTTTTTTAATTGGAAAGTCAGATATACAGAGATGAGGTGAGACAGAGAGAAGATCGCCCATCCGCTGGTTCACTCCCCAAGTGAGCGCATAAACTGGAGCTGCGCTGATCTGAAGCCAGGAACTTCTGGGTCTCCCACACAGGTGCAGGGTCCCAAGGCTTGGGGCTCTCCTTTACTGCTTTTCCAGGCCACAGGCAGGGAGCTAGATGGAAAGTGGGATTAGAACTGCCACCCATGGGCCCAGCGGCGTGGCCTAGCGGCTAAAGTCCTTGCCATGAACACGCCGGGATCCCATATGGTCACCGGTTCCAATCCCGGCATCCCTGCTTCCCATCCAGCTCCCTGCCTGTGGCCTGGGAAAGCAGTTAAGGACGGCCCAAAGCTTGAGACCCTGCACCCATGTGGGAGACCCAGAAGAGCCTCTGGATTGGTGCAGTACCAACCACTGCAGTTATATGGGGAACAAACCATTGGACGGAAGATATTTCTGTCTCTCCTCCTCTCTGTATATCTGACTTTGCAATAAAAACAAATCTTAAAAAAAAAAAAAAAACTGGTGCCCATAAGGGATCCTGGCACATACAAGGCCAAGATTTTAGCCGCTAGGCTACCGCACCAGGCCCCAAGCATTTTCTTAAAAACAAAGGGGTGTACTTGCATCTACTGCCGACCAGACACGTAGCTTATACACAGACACGGACAGATGCAGGCGGGAAGGGTCATCGCCACAGCATGTGTTATGGCAAAAAAGGGGAACCACACATGCATCTGTCACCATCACAATGGATTAGCAACTGTTGTGACAATAAACAACATGGATGAAACTCTAGACACCGAGGGCCATGTGCGCACACGGGGGACAGCACACATGTGGTCAGGCAGACAGGGACAGGCGGGATGGGCGAAAGGGCGAGGAACGGAGATGCTCCTCCCCCCGCTGGCTCACTGCCCAGTGGCCGGCAGAGCCGGAGCTGGGCCAACCCGAAGCCCAGAACTCAACCCGGAGCCACGAAGGGCACGGGGGCCCAAGGGCATGGGCCACTGCTGGCTGCTTTCTCAGGCTGGAAACTGGATGGGAAGAACTCCGGGAAGTCAGGTCGGCACCCCGTGCAGGATTCCAGCCCTGCAGGCGACCGCCCCCCGCCGGTACTCACACATGCCTGACGCCACAACACTGGTGACCTTGAAACATGACGGTTCACAAGCATGTTAGCTTTGTGCTAATTCACTCATCCACATTCAGATTTGTTTCCTTTTATGCATGTATATATTATCAATTTACAAAACTTTCCCTAAAGCTGCCCCAGGCCCAGTGTGGCTGGTGTCACAGGGTTATAGAGGAATCTGTTGTGTGATAAATCACACAGCTGTGTGCTGTTCTACACACCTTCCTGTGAGCCGCAATCCACAACAGAATGGAATATAAAACATCAGTGGGGCTCGCCCTGTGGTGTAGCAGCTTAATTGTCACTTGCAATACCGAAATGCCACATCGGAGCACTGGTTCAAGTCCCAGCTGCTGCACTTCTGATCCAGCTCCCTGCTAATGTGCCCGGGCAGGCAGCAGAAGGCGGCCCAAGTCCTGGCGTCCCTGCCATACATGTGGGAAGCCTGGATGAATTCTAACCTCCTTGCTACAGCTTGGCCAGCCTAGACAGTTGGGAGATCTGTCCCTCTGCCTTTGAAAGAAATAAAATATATCTTGGGCCCAGCGGCGTGGCCTAGTGGCTAAAGTCCTCGCCTTGAATGCACCAGGATCCCATATGGGCGCCGGTTCTAATCCCAGCAGCTCCACTTCCCATCCAGCTCCCTGCTTGTGGCCTGGGAAAGCAGTCGAGGACAGCCCAAAGCCTTGGGACCCTGCACCGCTGTGGAAGACCCGGAAGAGGTTCCTGGTTCCCGGCTTCGGATCAGTGGAGCACCAGCCATTGCGCTCTCTTGGGGAGTGAATCTTTGGATGGAAGATCTTCCTCTTTGTCTCTCCTCCTCTCTGTATATCTGACTTTGTAATAAAAATAAATAAATATTTTTTAAAAAAGAAATAAAATACATCTTAAGAATTAAATATGACATTCGTGACCAGTTTGAACAGTAGACAAAACACCAAGAATTATGTGAATTGACAGGTTAGAAGACATTTTTCAGAAACAGGCACCAGATGAAAACATGGCCAATCCAGGATACATGAATAGGAGACGGAGAAGGCGGAAGTTTGTGTTAAGAACCGAAATGCATGTTTCCAGAACTGATAAGACACTAAGCCACAGATTCTAGAAGTTCAGCAAGTCCATCACAACAAAAATAAAAAGAAATTCCTTGGGGGTCCAAGCTGGATGGGAAGCAGGGATGCCGGGATCCCATATGGGCGCCAGTTCTAATCCCGGCATCCCTGCTTCCCGTCCAGCTCCCTGCTTGCGGCCTGGGAAAGCAGTCGAGGACGGCCCAAAGCCTTGGGACCCTGCACCCGTGTGGGAGACCCGGAAGAGCTCCAGGCTCCTGGCTTCGGATTGGTGCAGCACCGGCTGTTGTGGTCACTTGGGGAGTGAATCATGTTCCTCTCTGTCTCTCTTCTCTATATATCTGACTTTGCTACACACACACACACACACACACACACACACACACACGATAAGCAATTGGACCAAGCAGAGTGGGAGAGGCAGGGGTGGGGAGGAGAGAGGAAGGGGCAAAGGAACGAAGGGAGCAATCATTTCGAGAAGGGCCAAGGCGACTGCCTGCCACCTGCCAGGCTATGGCACCGCAGAAACGAGGAGAGGCAGAACAGACTGCAGTGGGGGCTTCGGAAATCATCGGCGACCTCAACTCCCTGCTCAGGTGACCCACGCCGAGGTGACTCTCCGTACTCAGGCTCAAAACCAGCACAGCAGCCCGTCTCCCCACAGGCAGAAGCATCTCCCAGAATCCCACATCATGCAACGAGGGGTAGATCCACCACCACAACACCAGGGCAAGGCCCAGCAGCTCCACCTCAGCTCCAGCTCCTGCTAAAGCCCCTGGGGAGGCGGCAGAGGACGGCCAGAGTGCCTGGGTCCCTGTCACCCACATAGGAGACTCAGAAGCAGCTCCTGGCTTTGGCCTGGCCTAGCCAGGGCCTCCTCTAGAACCCGGACCCACCCTGCGTGTGCTTCCCAGAAATTCTTAGCTGACAGACTATGTAGGCCACAGCAGTGCGTCCGCGACTTCCAAACACCACACTGAGCACCGACGAAGGGATCCTCTGCACCCCAGCAGTGGGTCCACAGAGCACCACAGCCAGCACCCCGCCCTCGAGCCCTGGGCAGCAGGGAGCACACAGGTGGCCGGCAGCTGTGCCCACCCACTCACGGTAACCATCTCCACTCTCCACACCTGTGGCCGAGGGAGACACACAGGAATCTGGAACCTTGAATCAGCCCACGAACCAGTGTCCACCCCAGGTGCGGGGTACATTCCTGGCCCACAGCAGGACACAGGCCAGGTACCTACCCTTGCACCATACCTCCACAGATACCCAGGTGCCCACCCTGAGCAAAGCTTCTCTCCAGGGTTCCGGCCAGTCCTGTTAGAGGCCTGAGGACACCCACCTGGTCGGAGGCCCCCCGCACGCGTGCTGGCTCCACACCAGTTTCTTCCACACATCTGAGCAGCAGTACTGGGCGTCACAGGTGCCACAGCAGAAGTCAGGACAGGAGGTGGGCAAACGGCTCTCTCCATGGGGCACCACGCACACCTCTCCACGGGCTGCAGCAGGCATACACAGGCTGGTCAGCCACGCTGCTCCAGCAGGCCTTGCCCTCTTCTCCCCAAGGCCACAGCAGAGATGAAACCCTCCCCCACACCCCACCCCTGCAGCTGCTGGCCTCCTGAAAGATAATGGCCTTGCCAGGTGAGTCTCCCTGAGCTACTTAGCTCTCATGCATGTCCTGTCCTCAGGGGCCACGAGCAAGGCTTCACTTCAAGGGGCCTGAAAGGTCACTCTGCTTTCAAGTCTGGCTGCACTCAGTCCCTATGCTAGCCGTTTCCCATCCCCCACCTGCACCTGGACTCATCCCTCAAGACCTCGCGGCAGGCCACCGCTTCCTGGAGCCCAGCAGTCCCAGGCACACAGGCACACCAAGTGGGCGCAGGCACTTGGACTCCCAGCCCTCTGTCCTCCTCAGCCCAGATCCTGCTGGACACAACTGCGGGGGCTCAGTCCTCACTGACCACCCTGTGGCAGTCCAATCCAGCACCGCCACCACCCAAGAGGCCACGCCCTGGGGGTTGGCCTGGCCACAGGCGTGGGGCTCTCAAAGCCCACAAGGTTGCACCAGACCAGACCATCCGAGTGAGCATCCAAGGACAAGGGCACGTCGCCAGGACCTGGCGGACCAGGCCTGACTCCAGGCTTTGGATCAAAAAGACACCCCCCAGACACCCCCCTCCAGGGGTATCCCCAAGCCCCTGCCCCCAGCAGAGATCCACTGCCGAGCAGCAGGAGGGGCCAGGACAGGTTCTGTCAAGTGCTAGGCAGCCCAGCCAGACCCATGTGACCGCAGGGGACCACTTACGGCACCCCACAGGTACCCTGGAGCCTTGGCGGGCGGGGACAATGTGGGAGCGCCAACCTGGCCCGGGGCCTCAGGAGCACACGCCCGGACTCTGAATGAGATCCTTGAGGAGATACAGCTGGGGGAGGGAAGGCAGCCCTGAGCCAGAGCAGCTCCAGGCAGAGCCCAGCGCCGGGCAAGATTATGGAGCTGAACGAGGCTCCAGGGCGTCCGGCCACGCTGGCGAGGCCCCTCGGGTACCCAAGCAGGGCGCCGCCCACAGGCCTATCTAGGAGGGCCGAGGACTCCCGTTCTCCTCTCCCCATCCCTGGAACAGACAGCCTTCGCCTGTAAGAAGCCACCGGTACCAGCGGAGACTTTTGCAAAGCAGAAGCAGGGGGCGTGTCCGCAAGGCCCCCAGCCCACCCCCAAGTCGGTGACTCTACGTGTGGCACGGGCGCTCGCGGCGGGGTCTCCTCCTTCGCGAGGCCGTCCCGGGTCCTCGCAGTCAAGGAGTGGGTACCCCAGGGAGGCAACGCTGGGAGCGCGGAGGACCCAACGCCTTGCAAAAGTAGAGGCGAGCGACCCCCTCCCCAGCCAGCGTGTCAGGGCAGAGCCAGGTCCAGCTGGGGCTGCCCGGCGCGCCCGGAGGTAGCGGTTGACGATCCGGGGATGTGGAAGGAAAAGAATCCGTTCCCCGCTCCAAGGCAGGACAAGCGCCCCCTCTCTGAAGCCCCCAATCCAGGCTCACCCCCCGGAGGCGGCGGCGGCAGCAAGAGCAGTAGCAGCAGCAGCAGGGGAGTCCGCGACGCTGCCATGGCGGGTGGGTGGGCGGACGGACGCGAACTCCGGGTCGTGGCGCTGGCGCGGCCTGGGGCGAGCGCACGGGCCGCCCGCTTCCTCGCCCCGCCCCGGCCGGTTCCCGGAACGCCCGCCGGCGCGGGGGAGGGGACGAGGGCAGCGGACGCCCCTCCCCGCCCCGCCGGCCCCGCCGGCCCCGCGTCCCGGGCCGCGCTCCCGAGCTGCCTTCTGCGCCCCGCGGTTCCTTCGGGGTACCCTTCCAGGCCCCAGCCCTCCGTCCCGAAGCCCCGACGAGGACCCCGCGGGCATCCTCATCCCAACCTGCCTGCCGCCTGCGGGGGCCGGTGCCGCCCGGCCTCTCCCCTCTCGCCAGCAATGGCTGCTTCCGCCCTCTACGAGGTGCACCTGAGCCCAGGTGAGCTGAGCGCCGTTTCCCTTGGAGGCTCAGTCCCCAAACCCTACAGGACCCCTGCGCAGGATGCTCATCCTAGCTCAGAGTGCCCGGATTTAAGGTCGAGCTGGCAGCTCCCAGTGCACACCCACACACGTTTCAAACTTTTTTTTGCAACAAAATTATTTAAAAATAAATGTGTTATCGGCCCGGCGCGATAGCGTAGTGATTAAAGTCCTCGCCTTGAGCGCGCCAGGATCTCATATGAGCGCCGGTTCTAATCCCGGTGGCCCCGCTTCCCATCCAGCTCCCTGCTTGTGGCCTGGGAAAGCAGTCAAAGTGGCCCAAAGCCTTGGGGCCCTACATCCTCGTAGACGACCCAGAAGAGGCTTCTGGCTCATGGCTTCGGATTGGCGCAGCACTAGCCATTGTGGCTGCTTGGGGAGTGAATCATTGGATGGAAGATCTTCCTCTCTGCCTCTCCTCCTCTCTGTATATCTGACTTTCCAATAAAAAAAAATTTAAGAATATATAAATGTATTATGTTTATTGGAAAAAGGGAGTCTGAAAGACAATGGGATGAGTTTGCAACCATTCGCTCTCTCCCCAAATGGCTGTAGCAGCCAGGAGTTCCATGTGGATCTCCCACCTTGGTACAGGGGCCCAAGTACCGGGTCCGCCTCTGCTGCCTTCCCAGGCTTGTTAGCAAGGATCTGGGTTGGAAATGGAGCTCCGGATCTCCAGGAAGGAGCCCTGTAGGAGGGGCTTAGTGAGGGGTCTGGGGTGCTCCTACCCACCCTACCTCCAAGCCCCTGCTGCCTTCCTCCCCAGCCAGCCCCTCATCCCTGCACCATGCCTGGGTACCAGCCTTCCATCGCAGTCCACACACTGCATAAGCAACAGGCTTGCTTTCTCTATCCCATGGTTCTCCAGTCCACCCCATCTCCCTGCCACCAGGGATCATAGAAAAAAAGCTGGGGTGGCAAGAAGGAGGTGGGGAGCCAGCAGACAGCAGAGAGAGCACAGGAGGGCATCCCACCAGGGGACAAAGCGTGCCTGCCTTGGCTCCTCTCAGCCTAATGCTTAGCCAAGGACCTCCCTGGGACCCAGGGCACCTGCAGCCCTGGAAACAGCATTTTCAAGCTGTCTCCTGCTGGGAGCTGCTTTGGAGGTTGGAATCTGCCTAGGACCAAAGCAGCAGCCGGTGATGCTCAGGGTGCCCGGTGTGGGACAGGGTAGGTGACTGGCATGGATTCAGCTCCCCAGGACCAGGACTGCTGAATCTGAGGAGGAGCGTGGCCCGATGCCTTGGCCATCTCCCTCTCTGAGCCCATGTTGGAGGGCAGATGCCAGGCACTGCTTTCCCAGCCTCCTGCATCCTGGGGTAGGGGTGTGGCAGGTGTGCACTGTCTAGAGTCAGGGGAAAAGGGTGCTGACCACTCTGCTTTGGAGGGGGCTGTAGCAGCCCAGGCCTGTGACCTGCAAACCCTGTGGCGGGTCTGAGGGTAACACAAGCCCCTGCTCCCTCCCTGAGCTTCAGCTCAAGTGGGTAGACTTGTGTTCTCCAACTGGCCAAGCAGTTTTCCCCAGGAGTGGCAGTGAGTGCCCAGGAAAGTGGGGGGTGTCTGGACTGGCCCCCTGCCTGGCTGGTTAACAGCTGTGGAGGGGCAGCTAGGATGGAGGGAAGGGCTCTGGCAGGAAGAGGAGCCACAACTGCTAGAGGCGCCAGGGGTCTGTGAAAGAATACACAGAAATATTTAGTCTGCAAATTTTCTCAGGATGTGGGCTGCTCCCCAGAAACCAGCCTAAAGGGATTGGAACTTTAACTCCTCTCCCAGCCTCAGGGATGGATACAGCTATTCTCGAATTTAATCATGATGCATCTTGCCCTTGCTTGTGGTGCATCCTCTGTTAATCCCTTCTTTGGGAGTAGGCACTGAGGCACAGAGGGTGGAGCTGCCACTAGGCAATCCCCTGTCTGAGTGCCTGGTTCAAGTCCTAGCTACTCTACTTCTTGCTGATGAGCACGCACCCTGGGAGACGGAAAACCAAGGCTCAGAGACCTGACTCTTGGGCCCAGCACAATGGCTCTGTGGCTAAATCCTCGCCTTGCAAGCACCAGGATCCCATATGAGAGAGGTTCATGTCTCAGATATTCCACTTCCCACCCAGCTCCCTCCTTGTAGCCTGGGAGAGCAGGAGAGGATGGCCCAAAGCCTGTACCCTGTACCCAACTGGGAGACCAGGAAGTCTCCTGGCTTCAGATTGAATCAGCTCCAACTGTTGCAGCCACTTGGGGAGTGGACCAGTAAAAAGATCTTTCTCTCCGTCTCACCTTGTCTATAAATCTGCCTTTCCAAAAATTAACTAAATAAATAAATCTTTACTTAAAAAGACCTGGCTCCTTACATGTGCCCCTGCCTTACACTCTGCCCTGGGTGGCAAAATCACAGGGCTGGCCCCATGGCCTAGTAGGCTAAACCTCCACTAAGCACCAGTTCTAGTCCAGCTACCCTGCTTCTCATACAGCTCTCTGCTTATGGACTGGGAAAGCAGTGGAGGATGGCTCAAGTGCTTGGGACCCTGCACAAGCATGGGAGACCTGGAAGAGGCTCCTGGCTTTGGATCAGCTCAGCTCTGGCCCTTGGAGGGTGAAGTAGTGGATGGAAGATCTCCCTCTCTCCTTCTCTTTTCTTTCTGTAACTTAAAAAAAGATTTTTTAAAATATTTATTTTTATTGGGAAGACAGATTTAGAGAGAAGGAGAAACAGAAAGATCTTCCGTCTGCTGGTTCATTCCCCACATGGCTGCAATGGCCAGAGCTGAGTTGATCTGAACCCTGGAACCAGGAACCTCTTCTGGGTCTCTCATGTGAGTGCAGGGTCTCAAGGCTTCGGGCCATCTTCTCCTACTCTCTCGGCCACAAGGAGGGAGTTGGATGGGAAATGGAACAGCTAGGACACAACTCAGCAACCATATGGGATCTCGCTGCTTGGAGGTAACCAACTGAGCCATTGTGC